ACTCGTGTGATTGGTTAAGACACGAATTGAGTTGTTATTATGTTATCATTAGTAATGTGTTTACCGTTACTGGCCGAGAAGCCAATGGAACTTCATAAATTTATCTTGATCGTTGTTGATTTTAACATCTGGTGTAGTCATAGTTGCGATCTTGTGAGGTGGACGAAGAAGACTATCAAGTCTATGTATTAAAATTTATTTTATGACTTTTGGGATTAGAGGGCGTTTGACACCTTGATGCCAGTGGTCCTGGACTGGTTTTTCTACCCTTTTGTTGATGCAGAGTTTCATCTGGAAGAATATCAACATTCCATCTGTTTTTGAATGATCGAATCTGAAGAGTCCAGATGTGTTGGATTTGAATTTCTTATGTGAAGGAATATCGGGGTGACCTACATTAGTCTTGTCTAAACACGTGTTGCGCTTGTCACACCATTGGCTTTAAGAAGCTCAGACTTGATATTTTTAGAGCATCTCTATACTGTATATCAAATGCAACTGCATTACGAGATATATCATTCTTTCAAACATGTCTGAGTAACACAATACAAAAAATTATGTGCACCGTTCATCTGATCTGGGATATCGGTGAGGTTGACGTTGATACTTAAGCGGATTAAAGATGTTCGTGTCCACTTGCAAATTTCCAATGTCATCCTTAGAGTTTCAGTGAAACTTGTCATGAATGTCAGCTAAGAAGCACTAAACATGTATGGAATGTCGAAAAGTACCATGAGCTTGTCTCTTTCCAAATGGATCTGGTAGCATGAATCGATTAAACGTGTGGAAATCGTGTTGGAGATATTGGTTAATATGTAGAATTATGGTCTACTATGATACTAGTACTGCTCTAATAATAGACCTAATCCTAAATTTGTAGATTTGTCATGATATAACTGCCTAGTCTATAAAATCTTGCGTGAAAGTCACATCATCGTCTACAACAACTTATCACATCGTATCAATTACCAATACATAATGTAGAACAAGGTTAGGCTAGAGAAAGAACAACATTTTTAATATGAATAGAAGATATAAGGTAACATTCAGTAGGGACCACGCCTGTATAGTCGAGCCATGCCACTCAATCAACTTCAATTCATTCGATACCTTCTTCCCGCCTTCTCCATCGTTAGGTATTTCTCCGCGTTAAATATTGAATATCTATTTTCCGAGTTGTCTCGTGTTCAGCTTTGAGGATTCTGTGGTTGTTGTCCAATGCCACTACAAATATACCAAGGAAATATTAAACTGTCTGAATTCAAGATAAAGCGATGGAAAGTAGTGTGGTATATATATATATATATATATATATATATATATATATATGCTGGAAGCCTGCGTTAAATGAAATTTGAGAGTATAACGGCATGTAGTCCTGACGAAAATTATTTCCATCTAGAATTAATGTGATACATCCTACGCAACAGTTTTCAAGGCAAAAACATTCACCAAAAATGTTGAGGAAATCAACGAGTTGAAGAGATGATTACAAAAACTGAGTTATAGTACCCGAATACAATATAAGGGATAGTATATAAAATGGCCTAAAACATCTATAGTATAATGCTACGTCATGTGTTAATATGTATTTTTGAAAGTGTAAGGCTGAGGTAGGAATTCAACAAATAGTCCCTGAACGTATGTGATCATAGCGTCGAAACACAATTTAAAGGGCAGTACGTAAACTTTTAAGTATGGTTCTCCAATATGTGTAACTATATATGTTTTGAAAGTGCTAGATTTTGGTCCAGTCATATAGTTAAATGGATATATGATCATACGTGTTTCAGATCTTCAAGGCCGGAATCCTGTTATATAGAATAAAAATATACCGAGTATACATAGATATACCTGAAAGGAGTATAATAAAGATAAAACAACTTAATGTACACTGTGTTTCGTAAAAGTAAAAACCACAGGCCTCAGTAACTGAGTAAGTCTCTATCAGTCCTTTATTGGTGGTGATTTCAATTTGAGTCGCTAAAACTCGATTCACTGCTTCAACATGTGTGAACAATCATCCTTTTCATTCATCACTAGCTTCACGTATCGATAACGGGAATTAGAAATTGTGGACTGACTGCCAAACAGCTGACTAAGTGGGGAGATACTATCTGCAAAAGTTCTTCCACATGGACTTTGGATATATGTAGTGTTTCAATACTTATCACTTTTCTGCTGCGCCGAGTTTCCGTAAAAGAATACGTACTTTTTAAAAGTCCTCTTGATCTGAGAAATCAACATTAAATATCTTCGTAAAGACAAAACAACGTGTCAACAGTAACGTTTGATGATGAGTCAAAACTAAACTCGGATGCATTATTTACTTTAATACTGAGCAAATATCTGGGCACGGAGTTTTGTATAATTGTGTTTTTAGTGGTTTGAGGATTAGATAACATTTAAATTATTTTGTGTTGTTGTTCCAAAAGGCTTTCAAACTTATTAGGAACACCTTTTTTACCATCCCCGTGGCCAATTGTTATATTTTGTTACTAACGTTCAACACGAACCTAAAAAGTTTACAGATCTAGCCACAATGTGATTGAGATACTCTTATACGACCGTTCCCCCCTGAAACCAATCACGATTATTTGATCAAAACACATCGAAACGAGACGGCCAACAAAAGAAGAAGACGGCCTAGAGAAAACTCGATATTCGAGGTAGGATAAGCAGAACAAAACGAGTTTGCAAAACTATATCGGCAAAATATGATTTCCAAGAACATAGAACTTTAACGAACTAATGACGATGACAACCAATCAGAGTGCAAACCTCGTTATATTCCTCTCTTATTACAACCCAGGTATTCCTATTGCTTGGTATGCTCGGACGCCATTTCACTCGACAAGTCCCCAAATCAGAACACGGTTGAATAAGAAAAAGGTTATATTTCAAATAACAAAGTTAGATGGAAGTAAGAAGCACAATAGGAAAGACGTTAGCATATTTATAGTTTTTGCATGAGATTCTAGAGTGTTCTCCAGGTATCGACTAGCGCTGACTGATTAAGAATTAGCTAATCAACATACACCAACGCAATCGTGCATTGAGCATGTCCCGTTAACAAAAGTTAGTTTGGGACTCAACTTGAAGAAATTTCACATGCGGCTACCGCTCCCAAAAGTATTTCAGGATTTGTGATAATACTACAGTTTTCTTGTGATCGTCTAAACACTTCTCAGTTCACTGCTCGCCTTACCTTTCTTTTATAATAGCAGCAACCGATTTTGTCATGATTTTTATATCGTTAGTGTTGTATCTAAAATTTGTACTTCGGTATTTTTTTGAAGAGGTTCTCAACATGTGACCAATTGATGAAAAAATCAAAGTCTCAAGTTCCGAATATTCAAATTTTGATCTTGAATTGAAAATTATCACTGCAGATGGCCCCAATAACAGAATGACAATTTTCGTGAGAAACCTTCAATATATAGCCTACCAGAGGATAATTGCAAGTACTAGATCAAAACAAGATAGGGACTAGTAGTTCATGGTTAAAATGACAAAGAAATCAAGTTTAAAGCTTAAGCAACATACAGATATTTGGGTTCCGTATCAAGGATGACATTCTCAATAATAAATTATACTAAGTTGGATATTTTAAACTTGTTTCGCTACCAATCCACTACCACTACTTTCTTGTTCGTCATTTTCAAACCATATTCTACCTTAACTTTCACTTTAGGTCATCTCATCACCTAATATGTTTCTGACTTTCTATGTAATATTCTACTATTCTTAATCGACAAGCCTGCCTTACCTCCTCTTTGTCACTGAATAAATATTAGCTCCAGCAAAATGCCAAACATGTGAAGACAGTGAAGGTAAGAGTATGGAGGTACAGGAAGATATATGTCCCATAGGAAATCCGGCAGTCCAACTTCTTGAAACTTGGTCTTCTGTATTTGTGAGGCTAAGCTAAGAGTGGACGATAATGAAAAGATCGTGACAACAACTTAACGTTAAGAAGCAAGCCCTCCCTAAAGCTACTAGCTCATAATGGAGACATTAAATATATTAAGTAATAAATAAGCCTTGTATTCGAATACAAACTGCGTTTCTGTTGTGTTTGCGGCACATTTAGCCTGAACAACAATTTAGTGAGGAATACCAGTGTCTCAGTGCAATAGCATTTCTCATAACAAACCCGTGCTTCTAAAGTAACTCATGAAATAGTACTTAAGTCCACCAGAAACCACTGAGTGTGCTGGAATGTATGGTTTTCCGTAATTGAAATCAAGTACAGAATTATGAAAACAGAAATTATTATTCGTCCTCAACACCATAACTGCCGCCGCTTAAGTCAAGATAAAAATTTATGTAGTGCAGTAAACTTTGTCATCTACGATATCTAATACCTCACTTTGACACGAGATGTTTCATATTAAGAGCTATGAACTGTGCTTTCGAATCTTTCTCAAGACAATCAAACGCTTCGTTTTTATTTGTCTTGAGCGTAGAGCATAAAATATTTCCATTGTTCCTCAAAAAATTTGAAAAATCAATTTGTACACTACGTTCAAGACCCTCAAGGCATTATTGAATAAACCCACACTAACTTTTGAATCTATTGAAATAACTAAGCACTCCTATATGACTTATATTTAGTCTTCTATGAATGAAAGACAGGTAGGAATCTCTCCACTCCCAAATGTTGATGATGTCTTGGATTTCACTGTCAGCTTACCTAGAGTTCCCTGCATCCATAAAAAGTTCTCTTGTTTCGGAAGTCTTAAACAGATCATTACTTCATACTCATAGACTGCATTCCTTAGGGCACAACTCTGGTTGACTTCGCAGAACAATTCACTATTTCACTCATTGATTTCCTTCTCTTCTATTATCTTGCTTTGTTTGTACATGATGAGCTTCAAATTTTCTAAAATTGCTGGAATTTTCAATCTTCCTAAGGTGTGCTAACATTATCAGATGTCTATGTTTGAGAACAAATAATATTTGTATGTTACCTCATCACGAAGATATTGGACACTGGAAATCGCCAAGGGTCAACCTAGAGGTTGTGGATTTGACCAGAGACTTAGTGGTTAGTTGTTGTACTTTAAGTACTTAAATGTTGTATTTGTACTACCTACTTTTAAATATGACGTTCGTTTCACGTTTTTCATAAGACTAGTAATTGATTTGTAAAACACCTCCATAAACTCATAAGCAAACAAATAAGGGCAAATAAAAATGCCTTTCCCACAGGAAAGTAAAGGAGAAACGCGCCAAAAAGTCTCTTTTTTTGCCTCCCTTGAGGAGATAATGCGACATTCCCAATTTTTGCGGCCGAGTTTGAATTTTAGCTGAATTTACAGCTAGTTGTTTACTTATCACTTATATTTACCAGGATTACCAACCTTCTCATCCATTTACACAAATTCCACGGAAATGTTGACTGCAAGTGACCTAATTGAAAAAGCTATATCTGATTGAAGACATTCGCAGACGATAGAATCATAGTTTATGAGGAGACTAATAACTGACATGCGGTATGTAGACCATTAATTCACGCTAGCAATTGTAGGCAAGTGCTTGTTAGCAAGCAGTCCTTTATTTTTAGACACTATAAAGATTCTCTAGACTACATGGCACTGGCTTTCAGACTCACCATTGACACATTGATTTGTGGTTTATACTCCAGTCACTGAAAATGATAGTACTCCAGCAATTTTTATCACTAAGTTTATGTAATTGTTAATTTATTATTAGTATGAATAGAGAAATTCGGGCGAGATTATAATGTTTAAATGGACTATGAGGGACGCCAGAGTGATAAACTCCCTAGGGCTAAAAAGAGGGTTATGGATTGGCTTGAGGTAATAGGATCGGAATCTAAATGTTGGGGTTAGAAATAAGAGTTGGGGTTTTCATCACCAATTGACATTAGATATAATGTAAAAATTCTATTTAGCCATGTGGATAAGTATATTTCTCCCCGAAATCTTTAGATTAATTGCTTCGTCTATAAATTATGGTCTCCGGAATTTGTCCTATATATTACCTCCAGCGTACTGTTTTGTATTTTGTTTGTGGATTAATCTCGAAGCTGTTTTGTGACTATTTGATTGGTGCCTATGAAGTCTTGAACTCAGTAATATCCCTTAAATAGACGGTTAATTTTTCCAAGACCATTGTCAGCCAGATAAAGTTTGTTAAATCTGTACCCTATCCATAAATCTGAGTGCATAACGCGATGGCGTTCGAAGCGAACAGTATTGGGTTTGAGTCCCGAAGTGGACATCGACTCAGGGATACGGGTACACCCAGCTCACGAGTCCTAAACAAAATGAAACCCATATCCTAGGTCCCACTGCTAGCTGCCGTCCATCTCTGCTTCAAGTGCTTGTAACTTAGTAGCCATATTGAGGCGATTCTCACAGGATCCACATATACCTAAAGAAAACGGACTAATTGCAGTCCTACGCATCAATGGGAAACTCCAAGTAACCAATACAAATGGATCATTCGACCATAATAGGACCCATAGTTACCGTATTCAGACTCTAATCTGATAATGTAATGGGGATTACAAAGGATAGTTTTCCTCAAGTTTCTCAAGTTCACACCAAATAAGCCACGTAATGAAAACAAAATAGGTAGGTGCTGCTCATGCTCTGGCGCTCAGTGACTAACCAATCTCAGCACTGAGTCCAGGATAATCATATGTGGGGCACGCTTTTCAAATCGATGTATAGATAACAAACTTGTAGTTTTTCACCATAGTTTTGAGGATAGGTCTCTAAACTATAACAATCCACTACTAGTAGTTCGTTCTGTGGAGATAAATCCGCCCACATTAAGTTTCAAACATCGATGGTAGTGACTTTACATGAAAAAAACTATTCTTATGGGATACTCATTAAAAAAAACGTGATTAATTGTTTAGCAAACTAAAACCACTTGGACAAAATAAAATCTTCAATTTAGTGAAGTTGCTTAGTAGTTCAAATATTGAAATTAATGTAAGATGTAGTTTAGTCATTCATGCTCTTCCCTCATTATCTGAGAACTGCGAACACCTGGAGGCCCTATCCAGAGCAGGGTATTTTCTCAGAGAATCACTTTCTACTCTTCTTTGCAAGGTCTACTGCACAAAGCAGTGGAACAACACCAAGACACAATCATTGCGTAGTCGGTGATTGAAATAGGTTTGTACACCGTTTGTTCCCCGTCAAAGTCATTCTTGTATGTAAATTCACACAACTCTCATTTCAAAGTATTAAACTGACTCAGACGTAAAACCAAGCATTCCGATAATTTTAGTACAAATGACTTTCTTCATTTTATTGTAGTTACATAAATAGCAACGTGGCTTACTACTTCTATGGAATATTTGTAACAGACTTTCGTTGGATAAATTCCAAAGTTCAAGCAAATATGGAACAGTCGTCTGGGACACCGAACCTCATCGTTAACGAAACTTTAAACACTGATATGATCAACAACGAACAAAAACATGGACATAACAGTATCCAACCAAAGGATATTCATATATCAAGTACTTCAGTATCTGTACATCATCGTCGCAAGCGGTCGCATATATCATCATTATCGGGGCCTGTGCATGCAGTTAATCATATAGAAGTACCCACATATGGAGAATATGAATTTCCATCGTTAAAAGATCATGTTGACATTGTAGAGTCGGCAGACGAGGAAAATGTACTTCTTAGTTGCAATCCTGAACATTTTCTGCGTAGTGATTCAACTTTTGGTGAAAAATCCGTCGATTCGCTAAAGCTCGCTAAACTCGATCCGGAATTCCGTGACTTAATCTCACGTTATGTCTGCTCGGAATATGTAGTTCATTGTCTTGAACTAGCAGGCTTTTGTACACCGTATGTTGTCGCCCGACTAGATGATCATCAGTTACAGAGGCTTGAGACGTTTGTTGGACATGCTTGTTCGATTATGAAGTCAATTACCTTACGAGAGCATTTCGTAGGGCCCATTTTTGCAAATGATCCATTAAAGTTCAAACTACCCTCAGGTGCTGCTTGTGGAATTCTTTTGGCTGCACACGAAATTCGTCGGAGGTATCGTCGATCTCAGTTATCGATAGAGGGTCAAAATCCTATTGATGAGGATTTCATAATTGTCCCAGACTCATGTGATCAGAGCTTCAGTGATATAGGTTGTCAAACAGATTCTTCATTGTCTCACTTAATTTCTTCAACATCACCGCCTGTTACCTTGGCTGACCCATTACCAAGCAACTTTGTGGAAAATTCGGATTCAACATCTCCAACATCGGTGGTAAATTTGACGTCGAAAACCTACTTTTCAGATTCCCCGAATCCCTCACGCAGGTCAGAACCAAGTGTTCCACCTTCTGACGGACCAGCAGTGATCATGGCTGCTGCTCTCCAAGCTGCCGCAGCTGCTGTGAGTGGAAATGGATACAATAATATCACTTTGTTTTCTAATTCCTTACCCGATGAAAACAGTTTAACGACACTCTCTGGTTTAAGTAGCTGTAACTCTGGTGATACAAATCCTGTGCTTCATCCAGGAACTAGCATCTCTCCTGTTTCATCACGTAATACGATTCCAGTGTCAAATATGCCTTCTGTCGCCATCACATCAAATGCTATACCATCTCATTCTAACTTTTTGATCAGTTCCTCTCCAGTCGGATACGGAAATGGATTATTTGAGAATGAAGGAGTCAATTTGGAGCGCTTGAAACAGCATTCTTCAGCTAGTGCAATCAGGTTAGCATCACGACAGTTTGTTAACGCTTACCTTATGCGTGGTCGAGATTTTGATATGGAAATGGAATTGTCAGTGACTCCTGAGGGTTTTAAACGTGTTACTGGTATATTTTATTGTCATCTCTGCAGAGAGAAACGTGAGCGCACATCAGCCGTACGCTTTTCCATAGCCCGCAACAGGTATCCAGTTTTGAGTAATGTATTATCGCACTTAAAAACACATTTTCATTATCGGGGTCAAACGTTATCAGGATTGCAGGCTGCGGTCACCCAACAAACTCAGAACTTACTCAAGTCGGCTAATGCGCTTAATGAGTCTTTTATTGGAGAAGGTTTAGGTCAGTCTCCAGGACCGTTCAACAGTTCGAGCTGTCGCACTGATTTTACGGTACAACATACAACTAATTCATCTAATACATCGCTTCTGCCAACATCTATTTCTCTTAACCAATCTCAGTTACAAATGAAACCTGAACCAGGAAACTGCACGTATACTATTGAAGCTGAGGGCATTGAAGACTCTAGTTCTGTGCATCAGATTTTAGACAGTTTATCTCCGCCAAATAGATTAAACTCACCGGATACCAAAAGTTCGTCTCCCACTCGAGGTTTGGAACTCAAAGTCATTATCCCATCGCGACCAAATACAGATAGCCAATGTAATACGCTAACTTCGTGATGTACATCCTATAACTTTTCCCCACAAATATATGATTCTCATGTTATGAATACTGACGTGCCTGTTCCAAATATTTTTTTTCAAGCATTAACACTTCGAACATGTATACAATGTTTATTTAGCATTTCTATCCATTCCATAGAGAAAATTGTGTGTAAATACCAATAGTTTATTATCATCGATATTCAGATAAGTGTGTATATTTGTATATAAATCCTTTTATTAAGTACTCAATCTTCCTTTATTTTTACAGTTTAGAAGTATTTTTCATCTTAGAATAAAATCAATAGACAAACTGTTGGAAATCACAAAACAGAAGAAATCCAGGACTCATCAGAAGTGCACAGTGATGACTTTATACGGGATCGAAATCCTGAGGTCCCAGGCATCACAACACAATGTTCAATTATTGAGGATTAGTAAATCTCTTCTCATTTAGTCATAGTCATTTACTGGTGAGTTTGTAACAGTGCTATATTCAGTGTTAAGATGTTTGATGATAAAACCTCTCATAGGTATGTTAGGGACGTTCTCAGTGGGGTGGTATAATATTCAACCAGTTGTGGAAGGAACAATATTAGGGTCTGAGGATCCTAAGTTCTTGCTCTAAGTATTACAAGACCAATTAGGAGTATCGACGTTGTTATTTGTTTAAAAATTAGTGTAGTTTAACGCTTCTGATTAGGGCCTAAATAAAGCCGAATATGGAAAAAGACTACGCTTGTACATCTTTCCTGTAAAGTGTTTGTATGAACGTCGGTGCTACGTGGTGCTTTGAATGAGATACTGTGCAGCAAAAAGGCGGCACTGCGTCCGACTATTGTCTCACTCACCAACTTTGTTTCAAATACTAGGAAAGCTAATCGGAACACCTTTTAAGTTATTTCGACATACAGTTGGACATAAAAATACAATTTAAAAATCCTGATTGCAGATAATCAATATATTGTTTAAATTTTACTAAAATTGTAAAAATGCGTAACAATGTGTCCTCACTAAGTGTCGATTTTCCATCCACCTGTTCGTTCCACACACTTTCAGCTCTTTATTAAATTTGAAATCCATTTTATAAGTTGCTCCAGACGTAATCGTAATTAGGAAGTGGATTACACTTAGTTACGATGATGATTTCGATTATTTTTCAAAATTACATACTTTAAAGATGCAGATTATTGTTTGTGATAATTACTATTCACTGGTTACTACGACTGAAGGGCGTTGATTACTGAAATCGATCAGCGATTTTCCACGAAACAACTTTTCACCCCACAGACAACTTCTAGTCGATTTTTATCGCACTTGATGATCATGATATTTTAGGGATTTTTTAGAGATGGTGTATTACCCTAAAATGTTTTCATTAGCATGGCTATTGTTTGGTAGGTTTAACTAATAAAAAATCAATTCACTTTATGAAGCTGGTCAAGCTCACTGATGTGACCCTGTTAAACTTAAAAATATACGGCCACAGTACATTCGTCTAAAATAATCTCTTATCATAAGACGATGGTTTAGCTCACTATGTTATTTTTATGAGAGCCGCCATATTTCATCCAAATGAAATATACAAGGCAACAGAGTTTTCGTAAAAAAAATTGTCTTATGAAATATGGAGTTCTGTGATATTTTGCAAGACATGAATACTTATATAAATGCGCAAACTCTACGAACAAAGTTAAGTTCGATTCCACATAACGTTTGTTGGGATATCTAACGCCGCTGAACAACTCACAAGCACAACGTGAATCATAATACTAACTAATTAGTAGATGTATACACTTAGTATGCTCTAATTTATAAATCGCTAACTAGTAGATATGATACCTAGCCTACCTTTGTATGTTTGTATAATGTAACTGAGTTTATTATATTTGAGCAATGAAATAAAGCATTTTGCAGCTAACCAGTCAACTTTTTATACATTTCCATTTGTGAACTTAAAAAGTGTGAAAAACAACGAATTAAATTATGTAATAATAATGTGGTGAAATGTATGGAGTGTAATGAATTAAATTTAATGGATTATTACCTGGGTTTAATGAGAAATGGAGACAGTTAAAAAAGACTATGCGACCGATTAAGGACAATTAAAAAAAAACAAATCATGTACGTCTAGGACCAGTTTCGCCTCATTCATTACACCGAGTTTTTAAGCCGTTGAGGAAAAAATAGTAACTTGCGTAATTTACCTCCACTTATTTACTGTTATCCTTGCTATCCAGTTTGATATGGCAAAATAAGTTAAAACACCAAGAATAGCATGGGGCTTTCCAAAAGATGTATAAGGAACAATGACTGGACAGGTCGACAAATTTGGTTGCTCATTGCAATTATCAGCTCTTAATTAATTACTAAAGACTTACTCCTCGTGAAGGAGCGTAGATCACCCGCCAGGATTCTCGATTGAACTCTGTCTTGGGCAGTCCTTTCAAGTTGTCATTCATTCTTTTGATGTCTGCTTACAGTTTCCGGCGCAGTAGGCTCCTTGGTCTGCCTCTTTTCCTCTTCCCTTCAGGATTCCAAGTTAACGCCCGCCTTGTGATACAGTTTGATGATTTTCGTAATGTATGTCCAATCCACCTCCAGCGCCATTTTCAAAATTGATCTTCATCTCAAATCTGGTTTGTCCTCTCCTACAGTAAACTGTTGCTGATAGTATCCAGCTAACGGACATTGAATATCTGGCGTAGACAATTGTTTATAAATACCTATATATTTTGATGAAAGTTGTAGTAGTTCTCTAAGTTTCGGCCCGTACAATAGGACTATCTTGACCTTTGTATTGAAAACTTTTGCTTTCATGTTGGCTGATGAACTAATTACTTCTATGAATTTGGTGTTTAACTTGTTCCGCTAATGAAATATAGCAACTTTGAACGATGCACTTATGTGCTTGTTCCTACGTTGTAACCGACTGAGTTATTTTTAGTTCCATACGTTCTCCGGTTGTAAGAATTCTGCCCATGTTTTGCCAATCAGTGCCTTCTCATCTACATCAGATCCTCCTTGTTCATCAATTATGCTTCTCAGTCGCGTGAAAGCATCCACCTATTCCAGTGCTTCTCCATCACGTGTGATTTGGTTGTATTTCAGAATCTTGCTTTCACACATTTGAATGTTGAGATCTACTACTGTAGACGTTGCTGTAACATTGGCCGTCTTCATCTACATCTGTTGCCGTGTGACATAGAAGACCTGAATTATCTGCGAAGTCCAAATCGTCTATTTGCATCTAAACTGTCCATTGTATTACGTGCTTCTCCTGAGATATGTAGGTCTTCATAATCCAGTCAGTCAACCACAAGAAAGAAAGCGCGAGAATAAGCAGCCTTGTCTGACACCGCTCCTCACTTGGAATGCATCTACCAGTTGTCCTTCATGCACGACTTTGCAATACAGCCCATCGTATGAATTCCATATGATGTTGACGATCTTCTAAGCTACTCTTCCTCTAGTGTCAAGGGTGGTTTCAAAAGGTTCCCCCATCGCCGTCAAGAAATCTGATCTATAGTGGCGAATCCCGTTCTATAGATTGCTCAAAAATGATCCATATTGTTGCGATTTGGTCTGTGAATGATCGGTCCTTACAAAATTCGGCCTGTTGATCTCGATGTTGTATGTCTACTGAGTTTTTCATTAAATTGAACAGAACCCTGTTGAAACTTTTACTGGTACTGACAGTAGTGTAATGCCTTTGTAGTTCTCACACTTGTTCAGATCTCCTTTCTCTGGTATTTTGGTCAGGTATCCTTCTTTCTTATCAAATACTAGTAACCTACGAATACCCTCTAATTTAATGAGATTGTAAATCTTCATCGATTGAGATGGGTCACGTATTACGTATTCCTGAATATCGATTACCACGACGCACAATGCTGACCAATGTTGCAGACGCAGATGACAGATATGTTTAGTGGTTTTCGTGATTCTTTGGACAGGATCAATGGGATTCTTTGTGTGAGGTATTTTCTTGATGACTAGTGTACAACGGCTCTCGAGGTGCTCACTGCATGCCCAACCTTCCACTTTTACCTGAGCTTAGGACTGGCAAGAACTCTATAGAGGTACAGGCGGAGTTTGTTGATTAATACTAATAAAATAAACAAATTATTCCACTCTGTGAAAGTAAATGTCACTACAAGGTTTATCCGAGACTAATATCCAAGAAGCGTATTTCAACTCCCGTTCATTTTATTTATTTAGACATAAAAAATTGATACAAGGAAGGCCAATATATATGCACTACACTCCGTCATTCGATTTATGTGAGGGTCGGGATACTCTCCAGGCACCCAAACCGAAGCATATGGTTTTCTCAAGAGACCTCTCGCCGAACTTTTGACCTAGAGGTCTAATCCAAAAGACAGCGTAGCAATGTTAGCAGATGCCGTCCCATGGTATCTGGTGATCAAGAATGGGTTCATACGCCAGTTGTTCCCTCATGATCTTGGAGTCCATGTCCACCTTTGGTTTGGATTCAGGGATTTCTAACTCCCCTAGGTGGGTCCTCCGTACCCACCAACCTGGTTTAAGCGCCGGACGTTCGCTTTCCGTCCCCTCAAATTTCGTAAACACTCCACTACAAGAAGGTAGTGAGTAGGACTTCTCTGGCAGTGGCTATATACCCGTAGTCATGTGAGAGCAATTAGAGAGGGATAGCAGGCTCTCTCCACCCTCGGCCGTACTAGGGCATTTGGAGGTCTTAAACTGCTATCACGCCTATTTTCGAATGGATCTGCAAAGCACATCAAGAGAGGATTGTCCCACTTTCATCGCTGAGGTATGAGTGTGGATTTAAGTATTCTCCTGAGAAAGTTCATTAAAATGTTCATCTCAAGAAGACCAACTCGCAGTTAATTCACTAAAAGGGTATTCAGGCGAATACAGATTGACAAAGAGCCTTCACTATAACAACAGTGTTGAATCAGTGCTTTTTCATATAATAACATTCACCTAAATGAGCTAAGTTCCGTGTGTTCTGTACATATGTGTAGGCTGATTACACTACTCCAACCAATATAAGCGTCCTTGTTTTGATTTTTGCCTGTTCATAGATTTAATCGATACATCTTTTGGAAATATGTGACATGGGAAGAAAAACCATTTACTTGCTATGTTAATCACAAGATATTCAAGGGAATCGTTATCTGCGTCAATTTTGTCGAGAACACCAAGTTTCCATTGATTCGCCAGCTTTGCTATGATGACTTCTCTTTAGTAAAAGCAGCCAGCGTACAGCAATATTACCCGTATAAGGTACATTAAGTAGATGATTGTGGACGTAGTTATTCATCCCGAGGCCAATTTACTTCCAGTCCTTCGACTGTAGTGTCCGGTAGCCAAAGTTTGAAAACAATTGAGAACTTTCTCTTCATAAGGTGTGAACTCAGTGAACTAAGCTGTCCTTAGATGCTTGATAGCCGCGAAGATCATTATGAATCAGTATACCCGAGATTCGATCGGTTGGCTGATTTTTGTATACACAGACAATTCAGGTTGACTTGAGTCAAAGTTATATTTTTCGTTATATTTTGACCAGATGCGACGTTTTGATTAGCCATAATTCAAATAAACTATATATATATATACTACTTAGATGTATATATGCAGGATGGTCCGAACTAATCTAATGATTTAATCTTATTGAAAACTATATTATTTACTCATCTTAAGATCGAGGTTTAGCAACCAAATATTCTTTGTTCTCGATGTTGGATTTATTTGAAAAGCGAATGCTGTGTCTTATCTCCCGAAAGCGTTTTCGAAAAAAAGCAAGACGACTTTCCCCTCAAGAAACAACTGGAAAAAATCTTCAATTTCGCTTAATAAACTATTTCATGGATATTCAAATCGAAGTTAGATAACAACAAAAATAAGGAACCAGGACTCACAAATACAAGTTATCACAACAAATGAATGGAGGTCAACACGTAAATCACTATGTACATAAACAGAGAAAATAGGGAGCACTGGTTTAGGAGAGTAGCAAATAAATTATGCTACTTAAAAAAGTAAACTATTGAGGTCACCTAATCGAGGGATCAATTAAACAAAATAACAAACTAGAACGAACAAAAAGAAGCAAAGATCCGGATAATTGGGTACGGATTCTTTTGTAGCGTTTGATACAAACGTTATATCTAACATACTTTCATAGCTGACATAATTTTAGTTTAAAATGCAAAAATCAAATTCCATCTGAATTATTTCATTTAGATGATAACAAGAATTAGAAGTACTCGGTGAGCGGCGTTCGATTTCCTTTATATTTACATCGACAATTTTTAAGCAACTAGTCCAAGAAGATAATACAGGCAACAGTATGTCGTCTAATGCGTCAGTATACATTTCTTCACAATTCTCACAGCTGGCATTTTCAAGATCGTTTGATGAATCCAGTTGATTGTGCAGTGTGTATACCTCCTGACATGAAGCACCCATCCGATAGCCAACCTGATCTGGTGGTTGCAACAGAATGCGTAGTGTGATTTGTGTACGATTATTGTTTAGGAGATGACCAAGATAAGGTCGAAGCGCCTATAAGATAGATCAAGACGTAAGCATTTCACGACAAGCTATGAAAAACCCAAGTAAATTATTGTAGTAGTGATACAAGCCTTGATTTATAACTGAAGAAATGAAACAGATACACTACGTATGAATTGCACAATATCATCTTTATCTGCAAAGTACCTCCTAACTGAAAATGAGAGTATTTTGAATTAAGAGCCTGATAATTAGGTTGAAATTCATCAGTTTTGCCTATGCGTAATAAGACTTAATGAGTTTCAAACATATGAATAAAGTAATTTACCCAAATAGTTATTTTATCAATACATATGAAACGCTGTTAAATACCATGAACAGAATAATCATAGCATTCTGAGTACAACCTCGTGGTCATTCGAAATACAGGTGAAGTACGGTGCATAATTCCAGTTATTGTAAAATAAAAGCACATTAAGAAATATAAGTTATCCACACATAACACAAGCAAGTGAGGAACAATAGAGAATGTAAAACAAATCGACTTTAAACTCTACAAAAAACTTAATACATGAACTGTTATACGTACGGATAAATCCTGAGAAATAATGCAAAAACATAAAGTAGATCGAACACATTGATATGATGGGATAAAAAGATGACGTTATTCAAGTTAATATTTTTGTATCAGTTCACCATGGATTTTGGCCAAGTTCACAGGTGTGCATTTCGTTCAATATGAGAACTTTATTCCGTCTATCAGTTCAGCTGTAATATACTCAGCGACTTTTACGGTGATCATATATATCTCACCTCTATTTTTCTAATAAGTGGGTGTAAACTCTAATGAATAGGTGATCGCACTTTGGTATACAAGATGTTGTTACAGTTCTGTAACGACAAGTGTTTCTATCGTACCGGGAAATCTTATTTGCACCAGTTTCTAACGGGAATTCCGTTCGTTTTCACCTCAAGGTATAAGTGTTACGATCAACTAAATGCAGCGGTTCCCAATAGTCCGGTTCTTTCATCTACTTATAAATAACAAAAAGTGAAAGTTCAGTGAACTACTTATCTTGAGAAAATGCATTGATAACAGAGGGTGCAAACTACATATCAAAGCTGAGGATACCAATTATCAACAGATCATACGTGCATGATATCACATGGGAATCGTATGTCTCAAACGTATAAAAGACCGTTCGGTTCAGCACCATTTCGTTCACATGATTGTTTCTTTGAAAAACTTTACTTTGCAAATGATCGTTGTTCTAGTTCACCCTGTACTGACTCAGATATGACGAATGGTTACTATTGGCTTAATTCCAGATCTTTAACAAGTAGTAATTATGGAAGTAGCAATCCATATGGATTCGTATTTTTCCATCCAACTCACCAATGTTTATTAGGCCTACATCTACCAAATCCACCGTTCTTAATCGCTCTACTAGTGCATATACAAGAAGCACCTTGGGCATATCATCTACCGAGTAGAATTTTATTGAATCTAGGCAAAATGTCACATTATTATCCAACTACTTTGTTATCCGACCGTGATCGCAAGATTTTATTTGATTGTAAACTAGACGGAGAAAGCTTCTTACAATTATTCACTAATATAAAACCATTTATCTATCCAGATTTCATGACATTTACACCTAAACAAAGATGTATTCCATTACCAGAATTATTATTTCATATAAATGGATTCTATGCACATTTGAATGTAGTTAAAAGTGAATCGGATACGAATACTACTACACATAATGATGGTGTCGAAGATGTAATTGTGGAGCTTCTAGTAAGTCTGAAAAGATTAGTTATCTATGTGATTTCCTAGCTGATCACTGTATTCGTTTTGCTTTTCCTCATTTGTTTGAAATAGTATCTTCAAATATCTGTTTTTAATTGGCACATTTTGCGTGTCTTGACAAGTCAAGTCAACTCTGATTCTTTCTTCATCCTACGATCCGATCCAGCCACATTACACACTTCCTATCTCTGGATTAGCTGTGCGCGAAGTAATAAGATAGAATTTTGTAATGTTAAAGGTTGAATGGGTATTGAAACAGGTCGTGTATATATATGATAACAGATCAACGCACATAAAGGTATGCAAGTAATGACCCTGCCCCGATGAATAATCCACTCACAAAACGCTCTCCGACATTTTGATTTCTCATTCACCATTTGTCTTTGAGGAATCATGTAACCTGTCTGGTCTAGTAATAGCATATGGTTTCATTAGGATTGTCCGACATACCGTTCTTCCATATACCTTACCCAGTAAAAAAGTATGACCTACTTTATGGCAGTGAAACATGGCCAATAAGAGTAGAGGATATTCGTAGGTTACTAGTATTTGATCATAGGTGTCTTCGAAACATTGCTCGTATATCCTGGGACCATCGAGCAAGTAATGCAGTTGTTAGGAAACGGGTACTAGGTAAGGATGGCAAATCAATTGATGGAGTTTTACTACTTCGTCAGTTGAGATGTCTGGGACACGTGTTACGTATGCCCAACCACCGACTGCCCCGGCGTGCAATGTTTTATGGTGTAGGAGTAGGTTGGAAGAAAGATAGGGGCGGCCAGATCAAAACATGGCACAAATCCATGAAGTCACTGATAAGTGGACTGAGCCGTGTTGGTAGGTGTAAACTACCTGGTTGGGGGCCGCGAGACGATAGCGATCGATGGTTAGAGACCCTGAATGACATGGCTCAAAATCGTTTGCAATGGCGCAGGTGCATCCACTCTTTGTGTTCTCCCAAATTCTAATCTTTTGAATTCTTCATGTCTCTACCACTACGGGATTTGAATCGACAACTGCATCTCTGTACTACTGTGTTATGGCAACTGGAACTGATGTACATACATACGCAGTTCTACGTTGTTACTGACTGACTGAAAAAAGTGTGATTCGAACAATTTTTGCGTCTATCACAGCACTAACTTCACTGTCTGAAATACATTTTCAGTAGTCATTTCTATCTATTAATGTTAAGTTTTTTAAATTAAAATATCCACCTCAAAGGATACAACCTCTCTCACAATCCTCAGTCTGAGTTAAATTTTTATCCGCTACCCCATATTGATCTTTTAACCGATTGATCAATGGAATTTACTGGGTATTGTTATTATGAATCCCAAACATTCGATGTGATCATCATAATACCTTTGTAGTCATTACTACACAGTTTTTTTCATTCTTCTTCCTTTTGTCAAATTCAGATACCCATGTCTTCATGTGCTTCTGTGGCTAGGTTTCTAGACTCGAGTGCTATGGAGTCAATGACATTTGCCCTATCAGCCGATTGTAACCCAATGTCCGATTCCCATTTAGTTTGTTCGCAGTCAAAAATACTACATAAAGGGTCTAAAGACAACCACAATAAGTTAATTTGTCAGAATGTGACCAGTTCACAAATGACCTCAAATCTAAATTATTTTACTGACCAAAATTGTTTCCAGACCTTCGAGACTGAGGCTATTTCAATTGAAAATACAAGACTCAAGGTATTCATTATATTTATTGGTTATGCAAAGCTTACAACTGACTACCCATTTCACTCAACTCATCAGTTTTAGTTGTTGAGATTATAGTTCAAGGTCCTGTCACTTTCTAAAACGCGATTTGCTTATGCTTAGTTACTCTTTAACACATATATACAACTATTTATTTATTTAAACACATAAACATTGGTACATAGGCGCACCAAAATATATGTGCGCCACACAATAAGAAAATGACCTGTGACCAACGAGTCCTCAGTGACCACCCAAAGAGAATGTTACCCACGTAAGTTTCTCACTGATGAAACTTTCTACCCTAACGCCAGGTAAATCACTGTTAATGGGAGTCCAGCAGGTGAGTTTTACCTCCACTCTGGCACTAAATGAGACACCAACGCCAGGAAAACTGGACATAAATGCCCTAGAGCCTCTGGATAAGCGCAGGTAAAACAAGCTCTCCAAATTGACAGACGGGGAAATAATTTGTAGCGCATCTCTGGTGTCTTATACAGGTCTTGGAGATGCAGGAGATATCGGTCTCAATACTTCTAGAAGACATCTAAATCTGCATTTGTGTGAACGTTGAAGCAGTCCGGTTCAAATGGTATACATGGTTTCAGGAAACCTGTATCGGGTATCGCTCTCGGTGGGAATCAATCGTGAATCCAATCGTTCATCAACTTGAGACTATTTAGACTAGTTAGAACATTCACCGAAGACGAGTTTCTGAGTGTGTTGAAGTGTAAAAGTATGCACGAAATGAATAGAAAGATAAAGTGGCTAAAATAAATCAGCTTGTAATTAGGTATTCGTAAATATCGTTTATATGGATAGCAAGGGGAACCGGAAACACTTCCTTCGTTGGTAAAAATCGTTATATTTGTGTGTGGGCCGGGATACTCTCCAGGTACCCAAACCGAAGCATATGGTTTTCTCAAGAGACCTCTCGCCGAACTTTTGACCTAGAGGTCTAATCCAAAAGACAGCGTAGCAATGTTAGCAGATGCCGTCCCATGGTATCTGGTGATCAAGAATGGGTTCATACGCCAGTTGTTCCCTCATGATCTTGGAGTCCATGTCCACCTTTGGTTTGGATTCAGGGATTTCTAACTCCCCTAGGTGGGTCCTCCGTACCCACCAACCTGGTTTAAGCGCCGGACGTTCGCTTTCCGTCCCCTCAAATTTCGTAAACACTCCACTACGAGAAGGTAGTGAGTAGGACTTCTCTGGCAGTGGCTATATACCCGTAGTCATGTGAGAGCAATTAGAGAGGGATAGCAGGCTCTTTCCACTCTCGTGCGTACCAAGCCATTTATTGGATACGTTAGACCTCATTCGTAATCCTAACACAACCCTTGCTTAAATACGGTTATCTAACGTTGGCGTTTTTCAATGATAGCTGATATAACTGTGACGAAAACCCAACAGTGTTTTAACCTTTCTTCACAGCTGCAACTCAATTCCTAGTATGTAAACGTAACATTTTTCCGTAACGATAATACATAATTTACTCTAAGTCGCTGCACTACTGCCAGCGGATCACCCATTAATTGAACGGGATAGTGCTTGGTGCAGCATATATACTGCACATTGTATAATGCATGTGCTACAAATCCACGAGCATATATCCTGTCTGATAAGTAGCATTCTGTCATTCTATCTGATATGAGATCATAATGAAAACCCCAGCTATGATATTTGTTATCCTAACTTTTAATCATGATTCATCATACTAATTCATAACCCGAATGACTCACTGAGGTGTCTCAGGGTTACTTTTGTATCTCTCAAACGTCGTTCATAAATTAGTCTCGGTCTGAAATAACCTAGCACGAGGATAACTGGGGTCAATCCACTGCATTTATCTGCTCCACAACTGACGCTTCTGTATGTGTTAAACTAGAGTGAACCTCAAGATGCTTTTAAACGATTGAGTTTCACCAGTATATTTCTAAACTTAGAATGCAGATCATATTGCATTGAAGCTGGCTTAGATAAAAACGCACACTAAAACAAGTTTTAGTGAATGGATAGAAAAGCAGTTTACTTAAAAAAGTTTTGAAATTTTTTTGGATTAAACTGACCTTGATTACACATTCAGCTACTTCATTAGAAAAATGCCCAAAAGTTATTGTTTTACTTGAGGATGTACTAATAAATTCCAATTGATCAACGTTTAACACATGAAATCGAATCCATGCCAATCGTAAAGACGGTGGATCACTTGATTTGGTAGTCGATAAAGAACTTAATTGACTTTCACTGCTTGGAATAATACTTTCATTCAGATGTATCCAGTGCCATAGTTGGTAATGAACTGGCACTAAGAATGTAGTAATAGGTTCCAAGTCCCATATGCCGGCAGAATTAGTCTAAAGAATAAATTCAGCACTCACGGAAATGAGGGAAATATTACTTAAAATATATTAAAATGCTATTCAGCTTAATAATCTGCTCATCGAAGAAAAATTTAAACATGACCCGATGACAATAAGGTTATCAAATAGTATATTTGACACAGTTACTTTTCAAGTTTTGACAAAATGTAAAGATAAAATAAATTAAGTTTGAATCATTTTATTTAGGTGGATAAATATCACGTTCTAGGTGATAGATCAAAAGTCAGCTTCTAACCTTAGATACGATTAAACTAAATAAATTGGTCAGTCCGGATGGGCATCTCCTAACAGAACTAAATGTTATGGTTTTTTGTACAAGCAGTAGCTCGGAAAACAGCATTCTAAAGATCTTTTAGTGAGTTTGTGTAATTCTTTGGTGAACCTTTCAAACGATTCGTCTGTCTAGTTCTACAAATCCCTTTATCGTAATTTAACCATAATAATAGGCTGTCTTTGGTTCAAACTCTTTCCAAACACCCTGCTAGCAATGACAGAACCTAAAACAATAAATGTTTTATTCAATATAACTTGAATAGCATTAAAGTGGTTTACATTTTTCTCCCAGTACAAGAAAAGGATTTACTTAAAAAAATAGTGGACAAGACGAAACTAAAATATCAAGCGATTTCTTCAGAAACAAGGATTAATGTATCACTAAACTGTAAAGTTTGAAAACTTACGCAACATGGAGTGACGGTAGTACTAAATGAAGCACTTGATAAAAACGAATCAAACACTTTAAACCACTTTACGTGAACTGATGAGGCAACATTTCCGTTAAATAGATCGCGATTCGAAATATCGTCTCCAAAACCACCATTGATATGTTCTACTATTGTAGATGGTTGGATGTTACGACTTGATCGTATAGGAATTGATAAATCGTAACCATTTTTCAAACTATTGACAAGCTGATGAAATTTTAAACTTGTCATAGAAATATATAATCCATCCTCGACGATTATTGCACTGCAAAATGAGGCGTGACCAGAAAAAGCTACAAAGCTCAAACCAGTTACCTGTAAACAAAAAAATTGAACATTTATTTATAATTTTTGCACTACAACGATATAACGTGTAATACAAAATCGGGAACACAGGCGCCTTCTACGCAACCGTTCTTGGATAACCTGGATTACAAATGAGGTCTAACGTATCCAATAAATGGCTTGGTACGCACGAGAGTGGAAAGAGCCTGCTATCCCTCTCTAATTGCTCTCACATGACTACGGGTATATAGCCACTGCCAGAGAAGTCCTACTCACTACCTTCTCGTAGTGGAGTGTTTACGAAATTTGAGGGGACGGAAAGCGAACGTCCGGCGCTTAAACCAGGTTGGTGGGTACGGAGGACCCACCTAGGGGAGTTAGAAATCCCTGAATCCAAACCAAAGGTGGACATGGACTCCAAGATCATGAGGGAACAACTGGCGTATGAACCCATTCTTGATCACCAGATACCATGGGACGGCATCTGCTAACATTGCTACGCTGTCTTTTGGATTAGACCTCTAGGTCAAAAGTTCGGCGAGAGGTCTCTTGAGAAAACCATATGCTTCGGTTTGGGTACCTGGAGAGTATCCCGGCCCACACACAAATATAACGATTTTTACCAACGAAGGAAGTGTTTCCGGTTCCCCTTGCTATCCATATAAACGATATTTACGAATACCTAATTACAAGCTGATTTATTTTAGCCACTTTATCTTTCTATTCATTTCGTGCATACTTTTACACTTCAACACACTCAGAAACTCGTCTTCGGTGAATGTTCTAACTAGTCTAAATAGTCTCAAGTTGATGAACGATTGGATTCACGATTGATTCCCACCGAGAGCGATACCCGATACAGGTTTCCTGAAACCATGTATACCATTTGAACCGGACTGCTTCAACGTTCACACAAATGCAGATTTAGATGTCTTCTAGAAGTATTGAGACCGATATCTCCTGCATCTCCAAGACCTGTATAAGACACCAGAGATGCGCTACAAATTATTTCCCCGTCTGTCAATTTGGAGAGCTTGTTTTACCTGCGCTTATCCAGAGGCTCTAGGGCATTTATGTCCAGTTTTCCTGGCGTTGGTGTCTCATTTAGTGCCAGAGTGGAGGTAAAACTCACCTGCTGGACTCCCATTAACAGTGATTTACCTGGCGTTAGGGTAGAAAGTTTCATCAGTGAGAAACTTACGTGGGTAACATTCTCTTTGGGTGGTCACTGAGGACTCGTTGGTCACAGGTCATTTTCTTATTGTGTGGCGCACATATATTTTGGTGCGCCTATGTACCAATGTTTATGTGTTTAAATAAATAAATAGTTGTATATATGTGTTAAAGAGTAACTAAGCATAAGCAAATCGCGTTTTAGAAAGTGACAGGACCTTGAACTATAATCTCAACAACTAAAACTGATGAGTTGAGTGAAATGGGTAGTCAGTTGTAAGCTTTGCATAACCAATAAATATAATGAATACCTTGAGTCTTGTATTTTCAATTGAAATAGCCTCAGTCTCGAAGGTCTGGAAACAATTTTGGTCAGTAAAATAATTTAGATTTGAGGTCATTTGTGAACTGGTCACATTCTGACAAATTAACTTATTGTGGTTGTCTTTAGACCCTTTATGTAGTATTTTTGACTGCGAACAAACTAAATGGGAATCGGACATTGGGTTACAATCGGCTGATAGGGCAAATGTCATTGACTCCATAGCACTCGAGTCTAGAAACCTAGCCACAGAAGCACATGAAGACATGGGTATCTGAATTTGACAAAAGGAAGAAGAATGAAAAAAACTGTGTAGTAATGACTACAAAGGTATTATGATGATCACATCGAATGTTTGGGATTCATAATAACAATACCCAGTAAATTCCATTGATCAATCGGTTAAAAGATCAATATGGGGTAGCGGATAAAAATTTAACTCAGACTGAGGATTGTGAGAGAGGTTGTATCCTTTGAGGTGGATATTTTAATTTAAAAAACTTAACATTAATAGATAGAAATGACTACTGAAAATGTATTTCAGACAGTGAAGTTAGTGCTGTGATAGACGCAAAAATTGTTCGAATCACACTTTTTTCAGTCAGTCAGTAACAACGTAGAACTGCGTATGTATGTACATCAGTTCCAGTTGCCATAACACAGTAGTACAGAGATGCAGTTGTCGATTCAAATCCCGTAGTGGTAGAGACATGAAGAATTCAAAAGATTAGAATTTGGGAGAACACAAAGAGTGGATGCACCTGCGCCATTGCAAACGATTTTGAGCCATGTCATTCAGGGTCTCTAACCATCGATCGCTATCGTCTCGCGGCCCCCAACCAGGTAGTTTACACCTACCAACACGGCTCAGTCCACTTATCAGTGACTTCATGGATTTGTGCCATGTTTTGATCTGGCCGCCCCTATCTTTCTTCCAACCTACTCCTACACCATAAAACATTGCACGCCGGGGCAGTCGGTGGTTGGGCATACGTAACACGTGTCCCAGACATCTCAACTGACGAAGTAGTAAAACTCCATCAATTGATTTGCCATCCTTACCTAGTACCCGTTTCCTAACAACTGCATTACTTGCTCGATGGTCCCAGGATATACGAGCAATGTTTCGAAGACACCTATGATCAAATACTAGTAACCTACGAATATCCTCTACTCTTATTGGCCATGTTTCACTGCCATAAAGTAGGTCATACTTTTTTACTGGGTAAGGTATATGGAAGAACGGTATGTCGGACAATCCTAATGAAACCATATGCTATTACTAGACCAGACAGGTTACATGATTCCTCAAAGACAAATGGTGAATGAGAAATCAAAATGTCGGAGAGCGTTTTGTGAGTGGATTATTCATCGGGGCAGGGTCATTACTTGCATACCTTTATGTGCGTTGATCTGTTATCATATATATACACGACCTGTTTCAATACCCATTCAACCTTTAACATTACAAAATTCTATCTTATTACTTCGCGCACAGCTAATCCAGAGATAGGAAGTGTGTAATGTGGCTGGATCGGATCGTAGGATGAAGAAAGAATCAGAGTTGACTTGACTTGTCAAGACACGCAAAATGTGCCAATTAAAAACAGATATTTGAAGATACTATTTCAAACAAATGAGGAAAAGCAAAACGAATACAGTGATCAGCTAGGAAATCACATAGATAACTAATCTTTTCAGACTTACTAGAAGCTCCACAATTACATCTTCGACACCATCATTATGTGTAGTAGTATTCGTATCCGATTCACTTTTAACTACATTCAAATGTGCATAGAATCCATTTATATGAAATAATAATTCTGGTAATGGAATACATCTTTGTTTAGGTGTAAATGTCATGAAATCTGGATAGATAAATGGTTTTATATTAGTGAATAATTGTAAGAAGCTTTCTCCGTCTAGTTTACAATCAAATAAAATCTTGCGATCACGGTCGGATAACAAAGTAGTTGGATAATAATGTGACATTTTGCCTAGATTCAATAAAATTCTACTCGGTAGATGATATGCCCAAGGTGCTTCTTGTATATGCACTAGTAGAGCGATTAAGAACGGTGGATTTGGTAGATGTAGGCCTAATAAACATTGGTGAGTTGGATGGAAAAATACGAATCCATATGGATTGCTACTTCCATAATTACTACTTGTTAAAGATCTGGAATTAAGCCAATAGTAACCATTCGTCATATCTGAGTCAGTACAGGGTGAACTAGAACAACGATCATTTGCAAAGTAAAGTTTTTCAAAGAAACAATCATGTGAACGAAATGGTGCTGAACCGAACGGTCTATTATACGTTTGGGAGTTGAATGATTCTAAGTGAAGAAAGACAAATGAAGAGGAGGAGTAACGAAACTGGATAATATTGTAGATGAAAAATTTATGTAAAAGGAAATGTTAAAAAATGTGATATGGTATGAAACATTCTCTGAATGAGCATATATCCAGTTATACCTGTTTGATGTCCTTTGATATACAATGAGATCATACCCTATAATACCAAAGTGTATTGAAGGCTTACTAAATTCAGTGAGGTTTTCTTTCTGCCTTGAATAAGAACGTGCAATCAGGGTTACGTATATAATACGAAAAATAGTTGTTGCATGTACGGAGTGTGGCAAGGTAATTCAGTAGACAGTTATTTCAGGAAGGGAGACTAAATTCCTCATTCCGATCTAATGCATAGGTTTATAAAGACTATCAATGCTGGGGTAATGAACGATTACTAGTAATACGTTACAAGAGAAACATAGAAACTTTTATTTCGCTAATGTCGATTTGTGGAATAAGAACTATGTAAAAAATTACGGGCACGCATCATCAGTATACAGAATACCAGCAATACAAACGGTGGAAAACCATTTGATACTTACCAAAATTAACATCACTTTTAACTTGTTTCTCAGCATAATTCACTAAAGCTTGATATATAAGCCAGTATTGATAAAATATCTCCATTGGTGGTAGTTTTTCATCAAAACGTCTACGTAACAGAATTACAATTTCTTCTTGACCAAACTGATAAAAGCCACTCGATGAGAAACACCAAGCTGATTGCTTTAAACAGCAATTTAATTCAGTTGAATGAACACGAATATGGAGATTCCGAGTGAGAGCTATTGTTATGCCAGGAGACACATTATCTGACTAAGGAAAATTTTAGGCAAAATTCTTGATAACTATTACAATTAAACTGAATTATATAGATGAAAGGATGAATGTGAAAATAATTTGTTGTAATAGTAACAATATTTATATGACCAGTAAAACTGCTACTCATTGGTAATTAAATTTATGTAAATATGAAAGTTAATGAAAATTCACACAATCAACTAAACAGTGACATCTCCTGTACATACCAAAGTAATTCATGATTATCACATGGTTAAATATCAGGAGGTCAAAGAAAATTAATGGTAAGTCCCACACATGCCTATTGTGAACTGATCAAAAATAAAACCTTCGATGAATCTATTCCCTTTATTACGACCCAGCTATTCCTATTACTTAGTATTTTTGGACACCGATTCACTCGACAAGTCCTCAAATCAGAATACGATTGAACAAGAAAGAAATTATATTCCAGATGACAAGGATAGATGGAAGTGTAAGGATTACAATAAGAAAAAAGCCAGTATATTTATAGCTTTTACGTGAGATTCTAGTCTTCTCCAAGTATCCGTTAACGCGGATTGCTTAAGAAATAGCCAATCAGAGTATCCTTCACGGAACGTGCTTTAATCCAGTCTAAATTCCACTAACATAGTCTATCACTGAGACACAACCACGAATCATTATAGATCCCAAACTAGCAATTGACTCTCTAGGTTATAAAACAGAAACTGCACCTTTAAAACCATCCTTACACATTCAAAGTCAGTTAAATTTTTTCCTCTTATTTAGGTATAGGTCACAATCTCTGCTAATAAATTCTTAACAACTTCATTCACACATGTGAAACGAAAGGACAAAAGTGCGTTTGGTGATAAACCTTATTTTTTAAAAAATAATGTAGATTAACTCCAGGATAATAATGCCATGTCAAATTGTACTTGTTATTTGCAAAAAATGAGAAAGGAAGACCTCACACCGCTAGTAATTTCTGAACTAAACTTCAAAGTTAAAGGCTAGAGAAATAATATGGTAAAGCATAATTGCAATATTTACATAAATTATGACGATTTTAAGAATCAAAACTTTCAAAAGAAGTCGAAGGAAACATAACTTAAAACAAATTTTAATAACAGATTTTATTTACTAGTAGTTTAATTGACGTACAGTAAACCGAAGATCTAGTAACGTGAACCGTACCGGTTGAAAATTCGATTTCACTGGAATCTAGTACTTCAGATGAAATGACTTGTTGTGCTGTTACGAAGTATGAAAACCTGGACTGAAGCAATTTTGTGCGAAATCCTAAATTACGACTATTTTTTATCTATGTAGAAAAAATAAATAGATAATCACAGAAATCACATCATATTCGTTATCGGATATTTTCACAGCCATGATGTCCTGTTTAGTTGAGACATTACCAACTGCAGTACTCAAATCGCCTATTTGTGCTTTTGATATTGTACACGAGAGTAACTAGCGGGAACATGAATATATATATATATATTAGACATATAATATGAATCTGTTTGTATATCTATCCCATATCAGCAGTTCATTTTAACTAGAAAACAGCTTTGGTCGTCTTGAAATTCTATGTTGGTGACCTAGGGGACACAGCAAACAACGAAGAATCCATTTAAAGAATTATAGTTTGTTACCAACTAGTCAGGCGGTGATTGAAAAGAACCTCTTAGGTAACTAGAACAGTAGGTGTAAATTAGCAAGTTTCTATCCACAATGCTATTAAATCTAGTTAACTACTAGAAGCCTTCATATAAAAAGATCTTCAAATTCTTTGCCTTTTTAAAGGGTGATAACTTTTAGCCATAGATTTAGCTCTGCAGTGAGAAAAATATGAGACAGAACTTTTTTCTCGATTAAAATCAACCAGAAAAATGGATTTAAATAAACGTTTCAATACCTTAGATAAGCATTCAGATTGTGTTACTGGTATCATGGACACTGAGTTTAAAGAACCCTTCTCTGAATCAATAGTTAGTTCGTGGACATTCTTATTATACAAATCACCAGACGTTTTGTTTGTATTCTCAAGAAGTGAAATTAAAAGTCCAACGGGAGGATTGAACTGAAGAACCAATTCTAAAATATCAAAACAGATTGAAACTCCGCAAAAATGTGAGTATAATTACATAATAAAGATAGAAAAGAAAAAATTGGCTTTTATTTCTTTTAATCAAGGTCGAACTTAGTAAAACATTATACTATGTATAGTATATAATCTATGAGCCATACCCTTTCTTGTGAACCACGTTGGTATATTTAAATCAATAACCGCAGAGTTATGTTTAATCATATTTAAATCATCCTTAGATCCTAGCAACAAAACTTTGGAGGCTAGGCAGAAACTAGGTTTATCCGGCAAGCTTACTGTTACGGCTATTAACACATCACAATCGCCTGTTAACCAAATGTAGGCAAAACATCAAAAAGTAATTTAGCTGGTGTTATGACCTTTTGATGTCTGACTTTTCTATCACACGACTTATCTACAAATCCGAGTACGACTTATACGAATCTTCACACTAGGCCAACCAATGACGTTCAACCGGTGTGGGCAGTTTAGCGTCCTTATTGGTCCTATGTCCTCCGAGCCCTTCCACTTGAGTCCAGAATACAATACCAGCTTCCGAATATGAATCGAATCGTTTATTTCATGCATACTTGGTTTATATATCAATCACACAGACCGCAACGTACCATAAAATAGGAAATAATATTTGTACACAAATAAGCCCAAAAAGTGGCTGTGAATGTGGGAGGCAGTAGTTAATAAACTGAACATAACTTAAGAACCGTAAATCGTACAATAATAAGTTATAGGTCAAAATAAAGCTTATCATAAAAGGAATATAAATATACATAGTGTAATTGTTGAGTAGTTATACAATAAGAATATTTATAGAATATTAGTCCATGAATAGTTCTCGGAAGTTACCTGTAATTTAATCTTCACCGGATATAACAGCTGGAAACTCGAATACAGGACGGTTTCAACTAATGGAATTTAAAACAATCTTTCCATGCAATCATCTAGAAGTCATATCATCTTGACCTCCAGTCTGATGGATATTTAATCCTAAGCACTACCGCTATTTGCAATCGTCCCAAGGCTTGTCTGAAATTCGCCATGTTTAAAAAGTCACTTACACTAGAGGCAACGTTTGGGGGAAATTATATATATATATAACAACTTGTTTGTGTTATTTTTATACTGCCATATAACTGTTCCTACACATTCTCCCCTCTATAAATTGCCTTTATTTAGTCATAAACCTGGTACTCAGACTTGTCCCATAAGTGTCCTGGTTATGCCCGTATTGGAATTCATTAATTATGGCGCATTTTAGTCTTGTATTTTATGTATCAAACCACATGAGTTCTTAAATTTGAATAATACAAGTTACTTTGCTGGTTTTCTAAGTGTTAGTTTTGAAAACTGGAGAAGTTTGCACAGCCCATTGAACGTTAGTAAATACAGTACTTGAGTTTGTCGAATTATTATCATTTATGTAAGCAAAATCACGAAACGTTTAATTATAAAAAAACACTAACATACACAATACAACACCGACCTACGTAAACAACCCATTACGAAAGCGGGAGAAAACCATAACGACAATTAACAGTGAAGTTACTTCTCGTTTCGGTGAACGACTAAATATCTATAAGATCTAGAAAGCTATTAGTCGTTTAATAGTTCATTCCAACAGATGAAAAGACAACAGTACCTGTAAATCACTTGGGCCGGATGGTGAAATGGTTTGAATTAACAGCATGGGAAAGTAGTTGATCATCTGAATAGAGTCCTATAGAAAGATCTTTAGTACTTAGTAATATAATAATCAAAAGTATGAAGAAACTTTGACTCATACCATGAAATGCATAGAAGGTACCATGGGTCAGATCATACGAACAGTACAAAAACTACCGTGACCTAGTTTTTTTCATATGGATACTCTGCTACATGATTTGAGTATTATACTCTCCCTATTGCGAAGTGGATGGTAGTATAAACTTATGCTTGTATTTACTATTTACAAGAAAAAATTCTTCGTAGATTTAAAGATAAAATTCCTAAAAATGACAGATGTAATTATGAATATTCCGTGAAACTATATACATTTGGAGTAATATGAAAATTGTCTTGTGAGTTTTTAATGAGTAATAGACATACACTACTCAATAAAACTATTGTTATAAACAAATGTGACAATTGAGAGTTAATGAATTGCAATTTGCTACGTATTATATACATGACAGCATATCATATATACGATCACGTTAAGTAGAATTCATATCTATAGAAGTAAATATTTTTCTAACAGACAACAAGTATTTTTACCTGGATGGGAACTGATTACCAGAGGAGGCCAAATATCTCCGTTAGGTTGGATTTGTTGTAGTTTTTTGGTAGTATGCAACTGTTTGCCGTCCGAACAGTTCTCATCAAGGCTAGTATTTGTTAGCGAAGAATCGATCCGCAGTTGAAAGACGTGATTTGCATCATTAATATTAATATTTATGGTCTGCACATTTTTATCGTTAGATATAGTATTGGGTAGTGTAACTTTCTCAATATGAGGTTTGTTAGTGGGCTCACCAAGCTTTTTACTTGATTTCATTAGTATATCATAGACTTCGGGTAAGTTCGTTGAGCTAAAAACTGGAACTTCGATTGTTTCACTGGGTTTTCCGAAAGTTACAGTACCAACGGCTGTTAAAAACAAAAGTCACTAGTTTACTATTAATAATGGGTTTTAATGTTTGGAACAAAAATATAAGTAAACTGAAATGACAAAATTATTTTAAAAGACAAATACTATTTTACATTAGACTATAAATTGTTAATAATTTATACATTTAACAGTGTACTGTAAAAGATGACCTCGAATAATTTGGAAAGTAGACAACAGATGATCAGGTTAATTTTCAACGTAATCTAAACCAGGTAATCAAATATTACAGAGAATAGTTTAATACAATATAAGATTGCACCAATATCAGCAACAATTATAATTAGATTTTTAATCACAGTTGATTAAAATAAAACAGCCTGGTGTGTTAAACAATAAGCAGTGAAAAAGTTACACAAACGGCAGAACTAATGTTTTATGGATATTGATAAACTACATCAATTCACATAAAGCTTAAGTCCGAGGTTGGAATTAACCAACTTGCCACTGTATTCTGATTATCAGAGGTTTATTAACCGACTTTTATCCGGTAATTAAAATCATCTTAGGAATAGGAAAACGGTATCAAGCACTTGAATATCTATTTACTGGAGGACATGACCATAAAGACTAGGCCTATTTTATGTAAACAGTAAGTCGAATTGTATTAAGTATGATGGAATACACAAAGAATATTAGAGAATTCTTTTACTTTTACTATAGTGGTTATAGAGCTCATTATTTTATTGTGAATTTAGGCTAGGCTTAAAACAAAAATCCGGACAAAAAATTTAGGTAGCACATACAATTGTCAGTACATTTTAAGCCAAATGTATTATGATATGCTGACATAATTTTTGATCACTCGTCAATAAACAATGATTAAAAGATTTTTCTTTCCTCCAAGAATACCTTAAATAACCGGCAAAAACCCCTCTACCACATGTTCTGAGTCAGTTGATATTACTGTGAATCCAAATTAGTTGAATTTTCCAGATCGAAGTATAGGCAGACGAATTTGCAGACTGTGTTCGTCAAAACGTTTCTAGCACTACCCAAGGTTAACTACACGAAAAAAACTATCCTACGTCTCCTTAAATAAGGGAAACGAATTTTTCAAATAACTCATTTAATCCAGTACACAGGAAAAGATTCGCACCCCAAACAGCTCAAATGAAATCAAGTAATGGGTTTCAGTTTTATAGAATCAAGTACTTTTATCATTAAGATACTCCTTAACATGCGATTCAATACCATAATATCCTCACTACTGTGCAAGTGTGAATACATCTGACAACTTACTTTAGTGCTCAGAATGATATTCATTATCCCTAAGGTAAATATATATGATTAGTATAACTTACAGTTATTGGTCCTTCTACAGTATCGTGGACACAAGCGAATGGAACTAGTTCGAATATCCGAAGAGGTAAAATTCATATGTTTGGTAAAAGTATAAGAACAACATCTGCGAAAAGACAGTAAACTAGGAAACGTTTGTGAATGTGGAAGGTAGCTAGAACCACCAAAAACATAAGATGAATGATTAAATGCACGCCTTTTAAGATGGTTACAAGTAGAAAAATATGGACAGGGTAATCTCTTATGAATGATACGGAATTTGTCAAAACAAAGCACACTGTATAACTGTGTATTGTTCCGCGACCATGCTATAAAATTCTTAGTAGACATGTGGCCACATTTATTTGGTCGACATCTTAGTGAAGTTCGGCAGGTATGATATTTTAACAACTGTGTGTCTGAAAATCAAAGTAAACACTAGACGTTAGTTTTGTTGCAAAAAATGAGCAACTGAATATGAAGCAACTTAAAAATACAAGTATACTACAAGACGAAAAAGTTGAATTAAATTGACACGAAAATACTGGCGGACTAGACTAGTAACTTGAACATCGAGAATCCCTACAAATCCTGCTACACGGGATGGGTACATCTTCATATTATAATCTTCCTAGGGCTTACCAAAGTTAACGGAGTGTAGAATGTCAATGATTGAGATTCAACAGATTGATTACGTAGTAGGCATCAATGCAAAGATTGAACTTGGAAGTATCAAATAAATTGAGCATTGGACAGAAGGTTAATAATCATAAAATAATTATATTTTTGCGGTGTTCATATGAGTAGACATTAGGATTTCTAACGTCTCGTGACTTGATCTAATTCGCTTCTTCAGCGTAAATTAATAACCAAATTATTAAGTTGTTTACTCTGGAGAAGTGATCTATATCAAGTCATGAAACGTCAGAAATCCAAATATCTACTCATTTTGGATATCACGAATATATGATTATATTATTATTATTAATTGCCTAATACCCTTTACACATGCTACATTTACCCATTATGAAGACCATTAAACCAACATCTTAATTTTAGATGATAAATTTAATTTACCATGATTCCTTGTAAAATCTAGTCGATTCTTAGAAAGAATCTGATTACGTTACGTGGGCTTGTTGTTTTGTAGAGTAAGAGAACACAGATTTCACATTTCTTAGGCGAGTTGGTGTTAACAAGAAAAGATCACAAAATGTTAAAGGTGAAATTTCTAGTGAAAAAAAGAACAACTTTTAGATGTTCCACAATTTTAGGTATAAATATTGGCAAACTATCTATCTCACAGAACATCATTCCAAAACCGAGCTTCTTCTTTAAGGTTGCCTAGATAGCTCCAACAGCTTTGACAGTTGCTCGGTGTAGTTGACATAGAATTATGACCACCAAGTTCCAAGGTTCTTGGATAAGTACTTTGAGATTCTCCATACCTTTAAAATTGAACTTCCCTTGCATCGACATGCCCTGGTACGATCGAGGGTAGGGAGAGTCCGCTCTCCCCGAAATGCTCTCACATGGTCGCTGCCAGGGAAGTCCTACTCACTACCTTCTTGTGGCGGGGGTGTTGTTTACGAACTTGAGAGGACGAAAAGCGCCTTAACTTGGTTGGTGAATATGGAGGATCCACTTAGGAGAGTTGAAAAACCCTGATTCCAAACCGATGGTGCATATGGGCTGCAGGATCCTGAGGGAACAAATGGCATATGAACCAATCGTTGGTCACCAGATACCATAGGGTTGCATCTCCTTACGTTGCTCTACTGCCTTGTGGATCAGACCTATAGGTCGGAGGCTCGAGTTGCAGCCCCCCTACGAAGACCACTTGCTTCGGTCTGGGCACCCGGGCAGTATCACAACCCACACATAAGTCAAGTGACTTGTGTGGGGTATATGTATTTGGTGCCCCTTTGTACCAACATTTGCGTTCAAATACTAATAATAGTACATCGGCATAAGCAGCTTCGCAGAACGACAGGCACTTGTTTATAACAAGTAGGCATAAACAACATATGGGATGGGACAAAAGTATGCCGTGTCACGTAACAATATTTCAAAGAAGCACTGCGAGAGGAATAATAGAATGAGGATAACAATACTATTAATAGTAAAAAATTAAACATAAAAGATTTAATACGAATGGATCTGACCGGAGAATGAAAACTCGAGGACAATATTACATTTAATATTTGCGGGATGGTAAGCAAATAACACACGTGAGTCGCATTGATAGAACACGAACCATACCAAGTAAAATTTCCAAACATATATTACGCACACTCCAAGGACAGGAGATAAAATTTAGTTTCACGTGTTTACGAAAAAGGTTTTCTTTGAAGTTACAAGAATGAACACTAATTAGCTATCAAACGCCATGGTGTATGTTCGCTCACATCGATCCATGCGGACGAACGTTCTGCTGGGAAAATGTTGAAATTTCAGGTATGGTGATACAAAACACAATTAAACCATTCAGTTCAGAGAACGAAACTCCACAAAAGTCATCCACACGAGCGACAAACCTCCGTTATCTTTTTCAGATGTACAGCAACACATACACCATAATATTTTGAAGTCTTGGATAGACAGTCCTGAACTAGCTAGATTTAACAACTACAATCCTTAGCACGATACTGAAATGCAATATGGTTCTGGTCCACAACGGAGTGTTAAAACTCCAAACAAGTAACCTAAAAGTAATTGATTGAGACGAGTGTTATACTATGTTCATATTCATATTGTAGATCAAACCAATCTACGGATTTATCAAGGGAAACTCAGAACTGACAAACCACGTACCTCAACTAAAACTGGGAGGCTAGAATATATATTGCTTCTTCCATATAAATACAGACTCAGATCAATAAATTCTGAAAGACTTATCTATAGAAATGAATACATATTTAACTCTTGCAAATCTAAAGTTTGTCACAACTAATTAAGTAAATATTTGGTTAGCTGCTGTGTGAAATAAATCAATATTTTAAGACAACGATACAAAAGCAGTGACAGGAAATTCACCTACTTTTCTTAATAAACAATCCCATAGAATCAGGATGTATAGCATGAATGTTTCCAGTATTTAAAGAAGAGGCTTTAACTGTAGATATGGTATTCTTGCTACTTCCTGGCATGAGTCCATCACTAGGTTTTGGAAAACCTGGATATTTACTTCCTTGTGAAGGTATTGGTAAAAAGTTAGGTCTTTTGATTGGACAATCTGAGATAGCCGATGAAGAATAAGCGCTCGCACTGCAAACAGCTTTCTGTAAAGAATCATGAACAGATAAAACAGTTGGTCGTTTTGCATATGTTTTATGGTTTCTGTCACGATTTCCAAGAGCTAAAGGTGAAAAATCTAAAGTATTTGGTCTGCGACTTTTTAGAGTTTTGATGCACTGACTAATACTTTCTTGGTCCGATTTTTGACGCACAGGCAGGTTTGGATATCCAAATTCTTCAGACGGGGTAGTACTTTTACTCATGTTGCATATGTAATATGACTGAACTTTGGTAGCTCGCGTTATTAATTTATATCATGTTAGTGAAATAAGATCTTTAGCAAGAGCATTGTAGTTGTTAGCTCACTAAAAACGAAATAAAGGTGAAAGAAAAAGTAGTATGGTCACAGTATTTGCTGGATACGAGAAAAACATGGTATGAAAGGTGCTTAGTACTAAGTCACCTATTATCCTACTCAGTAAACAGAACACTAAAACTGAGTGGTAGTTCTGATGCATGAAAGCCCCACCTTCCGTTCAATAACTCGCCAAGAAATCTGTTTTTCCCTCCAAATAAATTTCAAGAACTGAGGAAAGAATATCTAAAAAATCATCAGTAACACACACCACACCTGAAGTCCTCCACTTGCAATTCAAATGAGTCAGATTGATCACATCGTGATAAGCTACTGATGGCGTGGTTGCGTACGAGACTGCCATTCAGTCAGCTACAACGCAGGCACACATATGTATCGGTCCAAGTTACCATACCTCATTAACACAACAAGACGAACACCGGATTCATAGAAGCAGTTACTCCAACAGTAGAAATATATAAAGAAAGATTGTGTATATGTAATACAGGAAGAAAGAATTAGTTAGTAGAAAGTAAGATATAAAGCAGTTTTAATCTCACGGTTTAGAGGAAGACAAAGAATGTGTTCACCGACGCCATTGTGATCGATTCTAAGCCATGTCACCAAGAGTCTCCAACCATTGGTTACGATAGTCGAGCGGAACACAACCAAGTAGTCTGCATTTACCAGTATGGCCCAGACCAGAAGTTAGTGACTTCAAGGACTGATGCCACGTTTTGGTTTGGCCGCCCCTAACTTTCTTCCAACCATCCCCAAAACTGATCAACATTGCACACAGTGGTAATCGGTGTTCAGGAATACGTAAAACGTGACCCAACCATCTCAGTCGATGAAGATTTACAACCTCATTGACTGATTTACCATCATTCCCTAATACCCTGCGTCTAACCCCACTATTACTTATCTGACGATCTCAAAAGATGCGGGCAATATTTCTAAGACACTTGTGATCAAATACTAGTGGCTTACGAGTATCTTCTACTCTTAATGACCACATTTTGCAGCCGTTAAGTAGAACAGAACGAACTGCTGTGCAGTGTACTCGTCCATTAATTGATAGACGGATATCTCGCCTTCACCATAGGTGACGTAAGTTTGCAAAAGCCAAACCAGCTTTCTGAATCCATGTAGAGATTTCGTCAGACACCAATCCACTAGGGCTGATCAGACTTCCAAGATAAGTGAAGTTGTCGACGCCTACGACTACTTCACTTTCTATCCTAAGTTCAGGTATTGAATCAGGCCAGTCCTGGAGCATCAACTTGCATGAATGACAGTCTTCTATCGAGCATCTCCAACGATGGCAATATGGTCTATTTGAGTCAATCGTTGGTTTGATACATGGGGTCGCCACCGTGATAGTCAGTGTCTCTCCTTATACTAAAAATTAGTGCTTGCTAAAAATAAACGATCGTCTGCAGCAGACGATCACCATTATCTGTTCGCTGGGCCAGAATACTAAAATACGCACCTGAATGTCTATCCGTTTTATTTAAGCTACATACCTAGGCATTAAAGCCACCTGCTACGAGTACTTTGTCTGAGCATTTAGCTTTATGAAGAAGTTCAGAAATCTTTATATAAAAGTCATTTTTCACTTCATTCGGGCTACAGTCAGTGAGAGTGTAGGCAAAAGAGACAAAAAGGCAACGATGTGTGTCCCTCTCCTACCGAGTTGTTACGGAGCCGTTTAGTCGAATAACACACAGACGACTACTAACAAGGATTCCTTTTAAGAGCTTGTTTTGCCCTTGTAAGTAGTGTTATGCATACACCCACCAGTCCACGAGAACTAACCAACGGGTCGCCAGATGAACAGAGAGTGCATCATGTGGGCTCTCCGTTTTGGCGAGGTGAGGTCAAATGAATCACCAAACTAGGGTCCTGTATGTGGGTTTCGGAGACAGCATACGTCAATGGTACGAGATTCTAAATTCTTAGACAAGGACGCCTGCCAGCCGGTTCGACATGAAGTGCGTACGTTGAAGGTTTTAATATGTAGCTTAAAGCGAGGTTCCAGTGGACCTGGGACAGTGTTTGGCGAACTAGAATCGTTGGCCATGGTGACACTTGGGGAGAAAGTCAAAAGAGGGAATTTGGATTTGAAAGTCGAAGTAGGAGGAATAACAGGAATTGAACAGAGATTGACCATGAATAAAGTGGTCTTGAGTGCTGTTAGATGTATGACGGCGGTTATTACTTCTCGGTTGTCCACAACATGGAAGGGTTCTTCTGGAGGTACCTGAAAAGAAAATTGGGTTAGAGGTGGTCTTAATGACCTGAGGGTGTCACTGCAGTGTTCAAGGGACAACTGCTTGAGGTCAGTCAAACACGACCTTGTTGTGGGTAATTTTTGTGTTAGCTTCGTACTTGTTGGGACTTTACCGCTGGAGACGGAAATCTGTGGGACAAGGTGAGATGTGCATTTTTAGGGACGACCGTTTTTAACCCCACCCTTCTTTGTGGGAAGGTAGCATCGCTGTTATGCTGGTTGTCTAAAGAAAACATCTTACTGCCGTCACACCCCTGTACAGTCAGCAGTACGACTTTGCCCTCAGACCTTGGGCTTGCTGCTTTTAGTCTCACCGCCTTTCAACCAACCTTCCCGGCATTGTAGGACCTCGAAGAACAATTGTCTCAGCCAGTATAACTTGATTGGTTCATCATGATAGGCAAGCCCAACCACCACGTCAAGGTAGCAGCAACGGTCACTTAAAGTCTCTAACCATTGGTTACGATAATCAAGTGGACCCCAATCGCGCAGTCTGCACATACTCTCATAGTTCATCCCAATAGCCAATTTCTTTGAGGACTGATGTCCAATTCTGGTTTTCCAGCCCCTAGCTTTTTTAAAACTTATTTCGACACCAGTTACCATTGTGCGCCGAATCAGTCGGTGGATACGCATAAATAATACACCCCCCCAACCATCTCAGTCGATTTACCATAATTACCTAGTGCTCCAAGTCTAAACACGTAATTACTTACTCGATAGTTCTAAAGTATACAGGCAACGGATGGAAAACACCTATGGACAAATACTGATAACCTACGAAAATGGTTTATTTCTAAAGGTCACAATTCACCGTCATAAATCAACGCATATTATTTCAGACTGCAAATTTTTTAGATGAGTAATCATATTATGGTTGTACATATTACATTACAGAAGCATTTCAAGAAACTAACTATACTAATCAACCCTCCGGTTGTTTTAATAAAGCAGATTTTACACCAACAGGAAAACCTACGAACATTCACCTTCCATTAGTCTGACGAACCAGCATATTCAGTGGTCAGAATGAATGTAACCGTGAGCACACAAAACCACTGATACTTTGCGACCATAAAAATGCATTTTTTTTTTTAAAACTGAGAACATACTATTAGGAATGTAGTAATCTATGATAAGCATATGGCTTCATAAACTGAAGGCACAATGCTACATTTTATGGTAAGTCGACCGAACAATTACTGTACGTAAACGAGACTCAAAAACTTGACTAAGCTAATAAAACCGAAGTTTTCGGCTGTAAAGTAGGAGAATTGTTGGATAGATCTAGATATTTACCATTGGTTATGACAGAAGAATTTCATGGTCATTTCCAAATCGTTTTTAGATAACCAGCAAGTACAGTGCAGTGATATCAACATACAAATTAAAATCATTTATGATTTCTTGTTTATTACGACAAGCAATCCTACTTGTGTTGGTCATACATGTATAACTGCAGTTATCTACAGAGGGTCTGTTACTGACTTCAGCTAGACCGCACCTACTAAAATAGCTCAATCTTCCTTGCCCAATGGATATGACCAACTGCAAATACGCATTAACGATTCAGTAGTATTCTCTTTTGACGATGGTCACTGAGCCCCTGAAGGTCGAACTGTCGTAAAATTATTGGCGCGTCACCTCGACAATTCTCAAGGTTTTTCAATTCGATTTAAGTTCAGCCACACTGTCTGATAACGTCCATCCTTGAAGTAACGGAAGTGATATCATCGTAATGGTGCCTGATATAAATCTGATCTACAACGATATAATGTTATCGCGACGATTTACCAGTTGGGACAATTATGAGACCTGCCTAAAAGAAGTACATGAGGGTCAAATGTTCAGATGGTTGTGGATGGTAAAGAAGTTTTCGCTTAACAGGCTTCTGTGTCTAGTAGCAGTGGATCACCAATATCTCCAGGCAGGAACCTAGGTATGTTAACGGTAAAAGAGAAGAAAGAAATTGGTAAATCATAGTGTGATACTATCCTTAGTCCTTAAGAATAGATCAAGTTGCCTCTTAAAGGACTCCTGGGAAGTCGCTTGGACTAGCTCGACCGGCAGCGAATTCCAGCATTTGACAACTCTTAAGGACTAGAAGTTGTGTCTACAGTCCGTTTTGCTATATTGTGTCTCCAGTTTTTGGGTGTTACCTCTTAGGTTAGTGTTGGAACTAAGCTTAAGTAGGTGTTTAAGAGGATGTTCGGAAGTGTTAAGGATATTATAAGCCATCAGAAGGTCAACTCGAAGACGTCTATACTCTAATGGGTAAAGGTTAAGTGAATGGAGGCGCTCTTCGTAAGGTTTAAATTTGAGTCCTCGAACTGATTTCGTGGCTCGCCGTTGGATACGCTCCAAAGTGACCTTGTCCTTTTGGAATGAGGGGGGAGTACTATGTTTCCGTACTCTAAATGGGGACGGATAGAACTATTGAAGATTATATGGAAAGTTCTTCTGTCAAACTGGCCAAAAATGCGCTTCAATGTTACCAATGCAAGGTTTTCTCGAAAGGCATTGTTGTCAGTTAGCATAAGACTTTAAATCGTAGGGCACCAGGACTCTTAAATCTTTTTCGACTTGGGATACTACTAGAGAGGAGTTTCCTAAGT